TATTGTTCGCAATATTTGGATAATAGATTTATCCCACAGTGAATTAAGAATAGTCAATAGTAGCTTGTTTTAATGGAGTGTCAGAAACCATTCACCCCCCTCCCCCCCCCCAAAAAAAAGAATAATTATTAATACACAAAATAAACAAACATAAAAACAATGTTAAGCCCATCACGATGTAAAGTTTGGTTCGATTGCACATTGTGTACAATGATCTGGCTCATTTATGAGTGGTAATGGAATATACTAACCTAATCAAATACCATTTATATTTGGTGTGAACTAAAACAATTTGGTTTTAATCTAGAAATAAGTGCCCTCCAAGTGTTCTACAAATATTTTGAAAAATGACTGCGACATTAAATGAATAAAAATAGGCTTGCAAATCAATATTATATTGAAAAATTATATGATTTCAATACATGACATTTTGAGTATTTTATACTGGATTTTTGTTTCTGTAGCTTAACATATATAGTAGATAACACATTTGCAAATATCTTTTCTGAAGGAATTTGTTTTAGCTGATGTCTAAGATTTTGCTAAATCTATATCTGGTTACATCGATTTGAGCTAATATTCGAAATTGCTTGAATTGCGCAACGTTACGAAATGTGGAAATTTTTCTAACCTTAAAAAATGGGTTTTGTATAAAATATTGATCTATTTAGAAAAAAATCTATTTGCAGACTAACATTAGTTTGCCTGTCATTTGGTCTTTTCAGCAGCAATTATAATTACATACTTAACACGAGAACAAAAAACTTCCATAAAATATTTATGATGTATAAACAATTTTTGTTGGCACATCACTGCAATATAAATAATTAATTTATATCACAGAAGCATGTATGTTCAAATAAATAAAAAATAAATTGAAACATCCCAGGTCTATAATAAATAAACACAAGGAATGAAACGCCTTTTGACAACCCGATAGACCTTTCCGCGAATTTAACGGTCGGAAAAAATCAATGGCAACAAATGTCGGCGCCACTTCAATAACAAACAAACAAAAATGCACCGTATTCCACCGCTGGTATTTTACCTCAGCTCATTTCATATTGATTTTTATTAATTGTCATTTTTTTGCTTTTATGTCAAAAAAATAAATAAAATGATTTGGACTCCATGCGCTGAAGATATTAACAATGGATTCAGCTCCGGGCTGAATATACTAATACTAAGTATAATATTGGTCTTGATTCTACTTTTGACCATATCTTTAATATAAGGAGGTGACAACACACATTGATTTATCCAGTATTCAGCAAAACCAAGCTCCTGCAATGATTTTTTAATATAAGCTACCCAAGAGTAGTGATATACATTTCGACGGTCCAATTCAGACATTAGTTTTTCAGATTTTAAATAAATGATTTTGCACCAAAAATTTAGGACTGTAAATTTCATGACATAATCATTTGGTAGAATACCAAGCTCTCCGAAATAACATGACACTAGCAATAAACTTTTTGGTATTCATTATAGGAGTTTAAGATATTTCTACTGAAACTATTTTACAATATCAAGGTTACCTATACACTACACTTCTAACAAAAAAGAAGTGACCATGGAATCAAAAAGTTGCAATTGTAAATCCATATCAAGACAAAGAGTTATGGATTTTTTAAGTACAGCAAACATAGCTTTTCTAGATTGGTCACAAAGATGTTTAGTAGTTTTATTGAACTTACCATTAAAATTAAACTTAACATCTAAGTAACTAAAATCCTCAACAATACAATTATGGCATTGTTTAAGTAAAAAGGTGTATTTCTACCCTTCCCTTTAAAAAATAGACTGTATTTACTTGGAGTTTCCATACCTCGCAATACAAAGACAAAGCATCTAGTGCTGACTGAAAATCAGATAAGGAAGTAACTTTGGCTTCACACCACGAAATTTTCATGAAATTTCATAGCGTGCGTAACTTGCTGCTGTAAAAAAGCATTTGTTGATTTCATCATAAAGAATTGCCCATAAAGTTGCATTTTGGTATTTTTGTATGTTTTTTTTCTTATATGTTGATGGCACAATTTCATGAACCCTATTTTAAAGTTTTACCAAGAAATCTAGCCTTGGCGCAGTGTAGACGTAGCAACCATAAACTCCCTATTGAAAGGGTTCAGTATATAAATTTTGATCATCATTTAAGAAATTGTCATCTGTGTTGAAATAATTCTTAATCAGGTGACGAGTTCCATTATTTTTTCTTTAGTGTCCTCATTTTAAAATTTATCGTAGAAAAGTACTTACCTTTTAATTTATGAAGAGGTAACATGTTTAAATAACAGCAATTATTTAAAAGTACTGATAAAACTGTATTAGTAAAATTGTCTGTTTTTGCACAAAGAATAATGTCTGTTATGGAATAATGTTTACCACCTTCTAGTGTATCTCTATTGTCAAGTATTGTCTTGATTTTCATTATTTGTTTTTATGTATTTTATCTAATTATGATCTTTTTTCATCTTTAATGATGTTTTATGACATTTGTACTTCCTATTTAATGTTAGTGAAACTAGTCATACGGACATAGCGTGGGATTTCATGGACCCCATGTTGTGATTACGCTATGAGGTCAGGAATTTTCATGGTGCGGTTGCATTATGTTACTAGTATTTCATCTCTTTCTAGTCTCTCATCTCTGTAAGTCATACATCAATATCTCTAGTCTTAGTTTTGTATTTATCATGCAAATTAGTTTGTCTACTAGCTTTATTTACTCATTTGTATTATGTTGTTGTTAATGCTCATTTGTTTGTGAAATTTGCGGTGTATAACACTGATGCCCATATGGGCCTAGTTTAAATAAAACTTGAAACTTGAGGCTAGGGTTACGTTTCCCAATGGGGTTTTGGGGTTTTACTTATGTTTCGATTTAATAAAAGAACGCAAATATAGGTAAACAATTTTACACCTTAAAAATTTAGAATCTATTAAAAAAACTTATGATTTAGAAAATAGATTATTAGAAAACAATATATTCAGCCCAGTGACGCCAGCGCATGGAGTCCAAGTCAAAATATTTTGTTGACATTTGAGTAAAGATTGGCAATTCAGTATTATGTAATGCTTTGATTTAAGATATCATCGGTTGTAAAAGGTATAATTTTGTATTGTGTATCGAAATGACTAAACCAATTTGTTGAAATTGATTTTCCACTCGTATAATAAGATAAAATTTGTATCGAGTTTACGAAAGGCGTTGCGTTGCATTCCTTGTGTTTATTTATTGTATAGAGGCGTATATTTGACTGATGCCTTAACTATTTGCTTATATTTCTCAATTACTGATAGAATATCAAGCTCCTTTGTTTATATCAAAGAACATATTTGCAAAGCCATTGGATACATTCGCGAGCGGTTAAGAATTGACTTTGAAAAAAAAAGAAAACTTTCAAAATGACGGTTGCATTGTAACAAACACGTAAATGAAAGAGTATACAATTTATTGTGTAAACGTTATTACAGAATGTAATTGGAAAATTCTTGTAGAAGATACATTACTGTAACCGATTAGGAATAACTTGACAAGTTTGCAGTTGTTATAAGTTAAAAACATTCTACAGTAGTATACGAAAATGACCCGTACCTTTATTGTAAAACAAAAACGATTCATGATTATGATTATCATTATCATCTGATAAAACGACCAATTACAATTACGTTTTGATTACAAAATGTAATAAACATTACATTTTTATCTAAAATAAGATCATTTACCATTACGTTTTGATTACAAAATGTAATAAACATTACATTTTTATCTAAAATAAGATCATTTACCATAACGTTTTGATTACAAAATGTAATAAACATTACCATTTTTATTTTAAAATAAGATCATTTACCATTACGTTTTGAATTACAAAATGTAATAAACATTACATTTTATTTAAAATAAGATCATTTACCATAACGTTTTGATTACAAAATGTAATAAACATTACATTTTTGTCAAAAATAAGATCATTTACCATTACGTTTTTGATTACAAAATTAATAAACATTACATTTTTGTCTAAAATAAGATCATTTACCATTACGTTTTGATTACAAAATGTAATAAACATTACATTTTTATCTAAAATAAGATCATTTACCATTACGTTTTGATTACAAAATGTAATAAACATTACATTTTTATCTAAAATAAGATCATTTACCATTACGTTTTGATTACAAAATGTAATAAACATTACATTTTTATCTAAAATAAGATCATTTACCATTACGTTTTGATTACAAAATGTAATAAACATTACATTTTTATCTAAAATAAGATCATTTACCATAACGTTTTGATTACAAAATGTAATAAACTTTACATTTTTATCTAAAATAAGATCATTTACCATTACGTTTTGATTACAAAATGTAATAAACTTTACATTTTTATCTAAAATAAGATCATTTACCATTACGTTTTGATTACAAAATGTAATAAACATTACATTTTTATTTAAAATAAGATCATTTGTACCATTACGTTTGATTAAACGTTAAATAACTTTCATTTCTTTAATAACTATTAAATCTAGATTAAATCTAAATTAAATCCAATAATTCTGTATTTGATACCATTATTATTAATTACAACATTGTTAATTACTAAATTATTCATCACCATTTACTTCTTTGTTAGGTAAAGAAATATATCTTACCAGTATTTTTATTAAAAAGACGCATTACCATTACTACAATTACTATTTGAATAATGATAATAATACCAGTTACCATTACTATAACATTATTCATCTTCATTACTTTTTGGTTAAAAAATATATCTTGCCAGTATTTCTTTCTTAAAAAGACGCATTACCATTACTACAATTATTATTTGAATAAAAATAATACCAGTTACCATTACTATTACACTATTCATCTTCATTACTTTTTGGTTAAGAAATATATCTAACCATTACTTCTTTACTAAGAAGACGCATTACCATTACTACAATTACTATTTGAATAATAATAATAATATCAGTTACCATTACTATTCGATGTAAACTGGTTACAAAGATAGGAGTACCCCGTAGACAGTGTTGTCCCATCACCAAAAAATTTCGTCACATCGCTGTATCCTGAGCATGCCTGAATGACATTTTCTACACATGTGTTGATAGCACTCAGTTGTGACCTGAAATGTACACGTTACTGAGCTCAATTGTGCCCAACTACTTACACGTTTTAAAGCATATTTGTGCCTTGCAATGTACACGTCATAGAGTTAAATTGTGTTATATAATATACATGTTATAAAGATTAATTGTGCCCCGCAATGTACCTGTTTTAAATTTCAATTGCGCATTGCAATGTTTTTATTTACGATTGCATTGTGCTAGATATGTACACGTTATTAAGCCCATTAATTGTGTAATGCAATGTACTTATTACAATTGAATTATGCCGTGCAATGTACACGATATAAATCTCAACTGTGCCCTGCAATGTGCTTATTTCAATTGCTATTTTGTTTGATATGTACACGTTATATAGCTCAATTGTGCCCTGTAATGTACTTATTACAAATGAATTGTGCCGTTCTATGTACTTAAATGAATTGTGTCGTGCAGTGTACACGATATAAATCGCAATTGTGCCTTGCAATGTGCTTATTACAATTGCTATTGTATTTAATATGTACACGTTGTTAAGCTCAAGTGCGCCCTTTAATGTACTTATTACAATTGAATTGTGCCGTGCAATGTACACGATATGAATATCAATTGTGCCCTGCAATGAGCTTATTTCAATTGCTGTTGTGCTTGATATGTACACGTTATTGAGCTCAATTGTGCCCTTCCATGTACTTATTACAATTGAATTGTACCCTTCCATGTACTTATTACAATTGAATTGTGTCCTGCAATTTACACGTTAAATTAATATTACTCTAAATTTTGCCCTTCAATGTACCTAATAAATTGAATTGTGCCCTACAATTTAAACGTTATAACGCTCCTTTGTGCCCTGCAATGTACCGGTTATAAATATATGTACTCTTTATAAAGCCTTATTCCGCACTGCAATGCTGGGTCACATTAGAAAACATGGTCGTGACCCGAATAAGAGTCGATACCAAGAACCTTTTTGAGAGAAGAAGCCATGCTCCACCACAAATAATGTTAAAATGTTTAAGATCGTAACTGGTTTAGGCTGCACATTTTCATTCAAGTAAAGAAAAAAGTTAAAATACCGAACTTAAAAAAATATAAAAAAAATGCTCTGTGTTGCAGTTTGAATCGGAATATTTGCCCCTTAGGTACCTTCCGATTAAGTGGATTCGACGCTTGTCTATTTGGCGGAGCACGCGACTCATCCGGCAACGCCATGTCAGATCAAATTTCCAGCACGTGTGTGAAACTAACGGAAACACCATTCCGATATTCCCGAAAAGAATGTTTTCAGAAATGAATAAATAGTTACAACATAAACCTAAACGTTACTTTGTCAAATTTTATACAAAATATGACATACTTTGCTTTTAGTGTCACCATAGCTTTTGTTTCGTTGTGAAATTGTTCTAATTGGTGAAAATTCATTTGTACTGCTAAAGGGATATTTGTTACCAGTACTTACTATTCACTAAAAAAATAACGGAAGCCGTAATACAAACCGTTTTGTCTTTACACAAACATTTACTTACGTTCAAATAACGCGTCATTTGATTTTATACTTACTTACAAAAATTAATCCGTAGGTTGATATAAATTGTTTTGTTTTCTCAGTGATTGTAATAATTTTATGGCTTCGGTGACATTACTACGGGTATATATTTTAATAAATGCATACAAAATGTCACTCAATTCAATTCAATTGCAATAGTAAATTTCAATTTCTTCCCTCGAATTCAACTGCTAAATATTGCCAAATTTAATCTTAATGGTAAACGCATACACTTACGTAGAAAATGTTACTTAATTTAACTTAAATAGAATCTAGTAAAAGGGAAGTTATTTATAAACAAAAATCTCACAAAATTTGATTTTAACAGTAAAACGTATGTGTATACGTACAAAATGTCACTCTATTTAAGTTAAATAGTATAAACGGAATAACGTATGTACAATGTTTTTACTATTTAATTTTAATGTCTCTCTATTAAATTTCAATAGTAAAAAGTATATACTTGCGTTAAAAATTTCATTTTCTTTTTAATTGCAAAAGTAAAAAAATCACTTGCGGACTGAATGGCACAAGAGTAACAAGAAATATTTTTAAAAAATATAATTGTTTAACATGCAAAAGTATATTATTTTTAAGTTTTCAATACAAAAAAGAAATGTAAGAAATGCTTGCAGAACAATGTCATGATAATTATTTCTTGTAGCTATTAAGAAAATACGCATTTTGTAAACATTGAAATTAAATTATAGCACATAAATATTGATGATTTTTCAAAAAAGAACAACTTCTATTTTAGGTGTTCTCTTTACTTGTTTTCCGTTTGACTTTATAAATTTTGTAATCATTTACAAATTAACCTAAAAGTAAAAGAACTACCCTCATTCCTGTACATGTTATTTTAGAACTATCCTTTATAATGATTTTAAAGTGGCAAAACTATCCCTTACATTTGATCATAGAGCTATTATTAAAATTTTATTTTAGAATAGTAAGAACTATCCTTTCATTTTTTTTAGTAAAAAAGAATTCACGTACGCACACAATATCACAAATAGTAAAAGAAGAAATGAGCCGCGTCATGACAAAACCAACATAATGGGTTTGCGACCAGCATAGATCCAGACCAGCCTGCGCATCCGCGCAGTCTGATCAGGATCCATGCTGTTCGCTATCAGTTTCTCTACTTGTTATAGGGTTTGTAAGCGAACAGCATGGATCCTGATCAGGCTGCGCGGATGCGCAGGCTGGTCTGGATCCATGCTGGGCGCAAACGCATTACGTTGGTTTTGTCGTGACGCGGCTCAAATTACTTACGTGCAAAAAGTCGCGGCATTATTAGTGGTATCAATTATTGGCAGAGCGTATTCTGTGGTAAGGCCTCTGGTATCAAAACAATCATACAGGTCCAAATTTAGCTCTGAATACGTACACACTCCATCAGTACCACCGTACCATAAACACAGAGCAAAAAACACTGTAATAAATAAAAAAGTGATCAGTAATGAAGATTAGTGTTTATTGTTATTATTTTTTTGGTTATTTTCACGTGCTATTCTCACGTGCTATTTTCACGTGCCACATGAACAATGGTACAGTAAAACCTCTGCAGAGCAACCACCTTCTGGGAGAGGAAGGTGTTGGTTGTTGCTGAAAGGTGTTACTGTAGACAGGAATAGACAGGATTTTCTTGGCAGGAATTAACTAAAATGTTGTCAAACGAGTTGTTAAAAAAACAACGTTCAATTTGAAATTATTTGTCAGTCAAAGTATTAAAACGTAAATAAATCGATAATTTCTTTCCATACAAAATACGTAATCACAATACCTTTACTATACATGTAGTAAAAATCATAAGAGACAGTTTTGTAATAATAATAATAATAATAATAATAATAATAATAAAATAATAATTATAATAATAACAATAATTATAATAAAATAATAAATAACAATAATAAATAAATAAATAATAATAATAATAATAATAATGATAATATAATAATAATATAATTATAATAATAATAATAATAATAATAATAATAATAATAATAATAATAATTATAATAATAATAATAATAATAAATAACAATAATGAATAAATAATAATAATAATGAAATAATTATAATAATGAAAATAATAATTACAATAATAATAATCATAATAATAAATAATAGTAATAAATAAATAAATTCATAAGTAAAAAAAGAAATTTAATGATAACAAGAAATGTAATAATAATAATAATAATAATTATAATAAATAATAATAAATAATAATAAATAAATTCATAAATAAAAAAAGAATAAAAGGCATAATAAGAATAATGATATGAAAAATAATTTAAAGAATAATGATATGAAAAATAATAGAAAATAAAACAAAAAGCATTTTTAAATATTAACCTACCTCGCGCTAGTATGTTAAACATGGTCGTTATTCTACCCGAATAATTCCTTTTTTGAATAACAACTTTCCTTAAAACTGCCAGTAAAAAGTTAATAGAAATCAGTAATGGTATAAACCTTATATATAAACAGTTCAATGTTGATGTAAAGAATTAACTGGGTGTTAATGAATCGTTGGTTATAAGATACCTTTATTGAACTAAACCGACTGACCAGGACACTAACGTGCTATTTACAATTAAAAAAATCTAGCCTAGTTTATTAAAGATATTTTATGATGACCATATGGCCAGATAAGCTTTAAGAAAAACATTACTTTATTAAACGTAAAGTGTAATAAATAGCAGTCTTTTCAATTCCACCACGGTTTACGTGTTTAACAAATAGCCTGGTTTTTGTAAAGATTTAAGAAAAAAATCGTTAGAAGAAAGCATTGATGTAAACTACTTAAAATAAAAACAGGGCAACTGTTTTCTCCGATGACAGCCTCGCTGTATAAGACGAGCAGGGACCTAAATTTGAAAAAACAAAAAAAAAAAACAATTAGTGAGTTTTACTTACACGAATGCTCACAGATGAAGAATCAGAAAAATTAAGATTAACATTTATACCGGGTCTATACGCATGTTTACTTAGTGTATACATGTCTGTATTACTGTATTTTTTGTTTAAAATTTGCAGTTCAGCGATTGTGTAAACATTCAATGAAGTGACAACTCAGAATTCAAGGATATAGCTGACGCCTGAGTGGTTGTTATGTTGCAGATAGGTATGTCTCAGAGGCAGGTTGATCTCACTTTGAATGTTTCCCACAGTGACAATGCGTTTCCAATTAGAAGAAAATATTGCACAATTACATGGTGTAGATCGTTCTAAGTGTGCAAAAATGCATAAGACTGATTGTCTATAGGCCGGCGCAATTGTTTCCAAACGCTTCCTTGCTCAGAAAAAAAAATCTGGAAACAAAGTGACCCCTCGGAAGCATAAATCACAACAGAATTACATGAAAATTGCAGACTCGGTTTGATTGAGCCTGTACATGAGGGATAAAAACTCACAGAATGCAACAAATGCACGAGTATACTCAGACCTCGTAAAGTATAGATTGCATGCTGCTATTAGGATTGCCAGACGTCACGCCTTTCATGTTCATACAAGGTCAGAGAATCTCTAAGTTTGGCCCGCGATCATGTGCAATGAAGACCCAACAACTGTAATAGAGAACCCACCACTGGACCCATTTCTTGTTTACCAATGACATAAACTTTACAGAAAGACGCACCAGAAAGTGGAGGAGATTAAATGAACGTTTTGCACCTACTTGTATCTGGGAACACGACCGGTATGGTAAAGGGTCCCTCTGATAGGGAAGGAATAAGTGTCAATGGCAAAACGGACCTCCATGTTTTTGATAACGGCATCCTGACAGCTGAAGTTATTCTAGCGAGATTCTTGACGTACAGGTACGACCACAACCATCTGCTGGTGCAGTGGAGTCAGATTCTATTCTAATGGAGGACAATGCTCTCGTCCATACTCTGATCGCCTCACTACCCAATGCCTTGCACGCGAAACTATCGAAGTTTTTCCTTGACCTGCCAGATCATATTCAATCCGGTTAATCCGGTATAACATGTGTATGACATGCTCCGGAGGGTTATCACATGCGACCCTTGGCAACCAGACACTATTACAGAACGTACTTTGTGCTAGTTAAAGGGGTGTGGAACGGAGCTTCACGTCGGATCATTTACATCATGCACAGGCGCTGTCAGGCTGTAATTAATGCCCTTAGACACTGCACAAGATGTTGAGTCATTCCATTCAGCCTTTAGAAAGAAAGCAACACTTTTACAAATTTCCGGTTATTTACGAATTTTCAAGTTTTTGCACTCAGAGAATTTGCCACTCATGTTTTATTACAATAATTCAACTCAAATGGCTTTTTCATCGGTTTTATTAAATAACAACAAAACATAACACGAAAGTGGGTCTTATCAAATTTTGAATAGTATATACTTTTATGAAAACTTGCAATTGTTTATTTACGTTATGTATTAATTCATAAGTTTATTAAAATACTCATATTTATCGAGTAAGACCCAACCTAAATTTAAAGATATGTATAGGGATTTACTAATATAGTTGAAGAAACCGCACGCACAACAAATCTAACAGTTGAAATTTATTCAGAATCGTTTTCAACGACAATGCCACGCAAAAATCTCGAGACCACTTTTCTTCTGCTAGATCTTTGTGTCTTATTTTGCTCTTAAAAACAACCTCCAAAGTAATGGAAATTCTAACACGCAACGGATTCAAACAAATGGTGTTTTAAGTGTTAAGTGTTTTTGTTTTTTTTTTCGAAAAAAATTCACACTTTATATAGATAAACCTTTACGCTTGCCTTTTAAGTGCGTAAAGAAGAAAATGAAAGAGCGAGAGGACAGTGAGTATAAAAGACTGTGAAGTCACTTCTACCTCCGGGAAGTGATAGTGACAAACGTTCGCAGCGTAGGAAGCTATGTAGAGTGAACTTGTTTGTTTGTTTGTTTGTTTCATTTTACGCCTTTTCCCAACAGTATTTCAGTCATATAGGCGGGTAGTTTCCTAACCATCGTTCCTGGAGAGTTAAAGTGACATTATGCCCATCCAAGGGTATATAATGAATAAACGGGTGAATATCAAAATAAGTTTTCATTTTGCCATAATTCCTTTTTATTAAATAATTAAGTTCGCATGGACAATAAATAACGCAGAGATCCCAACGAAATTTCTGTACATTTCCATTAGAATTTACATGTAACGCTCAGTTTATAAAAAGAGTGGGACAGTCTTTTTAGATTTTAGGCAGAGTTATAATTTTACTCAAAACATTTTCCAATATCAACTGTTGGTCAAACACCATTTTGTCAGTTAATCTTTTGAAATATAAAGTCAATTCAGCTCATCTTGACTATGAAAATATTAGCATAGTGTCACTTTAAACCAGTACTAGACTACCTTCCTCCGCGCTAAACTACCAAAGCATCTCCCGGGGATCGAACCCACACCAGAGAGGTAACTGGATTAGAGAGTGAACTTAGTTAAAGGATGAGTGGAAAGTGACAAATGTTCTTGAAGAAGCAGGAAGTAAACTCAGTTCATCGCGTAGTAAGTATGTAGTATGATTACATCCTTAGAATGGAGAAGAACATTCAGGGTGAACATAAGTAGCAGACAGTGGAGAGGTTTAAATAGCTAATAAACAGAAAAGACTATTTAGGATGCAATTAAATTAATTAGGAATAAATATACAGGTATAAGTGATTCCGTCAATCTCTTACTCCCTGTATATACATGTAATGGAACAATACATAAAATACATAACAGTGTGTAATAGAAAGTGTTAGCAAATAATTATACCAAGTTGCCAAAAAAATATATGCACTTGGTTACTTTGAAATTCTGAATAATGAAAACTTAAGCAAAACCAGGTAATTTTTATGTCAAAATTTGGTAGAAAATAGAAATATGTGGATCACACGATTGTTTGCTTTTTATTGAAGTATTTGATTTTATCTAAGTCCATGTAGAATTTTGGTTTCGTGTGTAAATAGCAGAAGGGTGAAAATTAAAAGTTGCAGATTTGTGTTTTTTAAAACAGTTTTTTGTTACGATTCTCTCGTCTACGTATCGAAGAAAATATTTGAAACTTCTTGAACCTGATGTTACGTCATATAAAATTTGGTTTTAATTTGGTTCAATTCAAAAGTTTAATTATACAAAAGACAAAAACGCTATTCCGCAACTTTTCTTTTCTAACACTTAATCAATGTACTGATAATACACACAGGTTATCGGCGTGGGTCCGAGCCCTATCGCAAGGGTGCCACCCCAGGACCCTCTATACTGCCCAAATAGTATTGCTTGATTTTGAATTGACATGTATTTTGAATAGTTGAAATATATTTGGAAAGTATAAGGGCCCGGTGTGATATCCCGGGGGTAGGGCTCGGTCCTACGCCGATAAGTAAAAATTAAGAAATAAAAATAATAACATCTGAAGAATTATGTGCCATTAAGCCTCACTCTAACGTATCAACTTTATGTCTATAGAAAATAAAGTGACCCTTGAGAAAGAAACGAGGAGAAAGGTTTAAAATAACAGCTAAACTTTAAAATTTACGTTATTGGGGGTTCGCTCGGAAAAGTTTAAAACCGCGCCTGATTTAATCCCTTTGTATAGTTTATATATACCAATTAAGCTGATAAACGTTAGAACAAAAAGTTTACGGAAATTACCGATGATTAATTTATTCATCTGACACAACGAATGATTGACCTATATTTAGATAAGATGATAGTATATGTGATTGTTGTCTTGTGAGTTATGGAATCTTTAAGAGGATTAGTGGCCATTATTACAGGTATATCATTTAAACTTTATCAAGCTAAATATATCTTAATTAAATGGACTGGTCAATCAATCAATCAAGACAAAATAAAGTCCATTGATCACTTAAAAACACTTATTGGCTGATAAGCAACTAGTGAATACCATGAGAAAACGGATGTGCTTGCTGACCGAGGTCTGCACTGGTCACATGGGTTGACTAATTGCCGCCGATAGGGTTTAAACTGTTTGATATAAGTTACATAACAACACGATATAAACAAACAATAGTACATGCAGTAAACGGGTTTTATTTTTTTTTATTTTTTTTATTTATAAACAAAACTCATGGCCCTTAAGGGCATAAGAGTGAACAATCATCAAAGAGTAGATTAGTTTACTACACTGCCGTGTGTGCACGAAAGCATGCATGTGAAGTGGAGTTTTGATTACTATAGCATAATAAGCATACGCAAAAAACAACAAAAGAAACCTACAAAAATGTGCTATTTAGCCTGTTTATAAACGTGAAGTGCAGGAGCGTAAGTAGATTTCGAATTAACTTCCTTCTCTTTTACATTTAACAGGTGCTAGTAGTGGTATAGGTGAAGGTGTAGCAATCAAGTTTGCACAGTTAGGATGTCGTCTGACACTGTCTGGTAGAAGTACAGAAAATTTACAACGTGTAAACGATTTATGCAAGGAGGCGGGCTTAAACCAAGATCATGTAATTATCCTTACTTATTTAAACAAATTTTAACATCATAGTGCTTGATAAACGTTTCTAGAAATGTCTTATGTTTGAGATACATTTCGCCAATTTAGTTATTTCATTTCTTACTATAGTATATACATTATAATCTTACTGTATGTTAAATTGAACTACATGTAACTTCAAACTGTCAATTTAGCATATTTATCTTGGATGTTTGACCTATTTTTTTATGTAAATGCCATTTGTATAGGAATTTGAAGCTCGTCTGCACCATGTCGAATCAAATTTGAAAATGAGTCATTACTTAGTCCTATAAATATGTCGTCGCTTTGAGATATTTTTGCTTCTGGGCAAAGCAACATTCCTCAATAAAATCTGGCGGAACGAAAAAACAATTAAGACATATTTACATTAATATAAACTTACATTAATTTTGACCAATTTATGATCAAAATTAAAAAGTTAATACCTTTTAACAAAATAATTAAACTGTAACATCCGAAAAATCATGATTAAATCCTCTTATTTAATTGAATTTCTAACACAGCCGATTAACAAAAAGCCGTAACACAGTGCGCGAAATCTGATTGGCTAATTCAAATGCAAGCGTTTAAATGAGTCAAAAGTTTCAAACGAAATATTTTTGAACCGAATATTTGCCCATGCACCGCCAGCGAGTACGAATATAATTTTTCGTTCAAAAATTTGAAACCAATCTGTAAATCGCTTAACTTAACCAGTATGGCCGATATGCAAACATACATGTAGATTGTTGTTTGAATATTTAATTTTAGATTGATATATAACTACATTGTTTGAGAATTTTGCTTATGATTGAGCATGATATTGAAAGAAATGTTTTATAAACTTTTTAATAAAACATGAAAGGCAACACAATAAACATTTTTTGATTTTTTTATGATGCTATGCGTTTATGAGCATTAACTATAAAACGTCGAGCTTTGACCTACATAAACTAAAACAAGCCCATAACGTCTGATACATTGGACTAAGTCATTATTATGACTATACAGCTCTTCTACAATGATAAAATTAAATATTGCAATCGTAACTTGTCAGCGCACTCCGTCAATCTTTGGATAAAAAGTATTATGAATAAATGAAAATGTTCACCTTATAAAATTGATTGATCAGAAGCATTAAATTACACCATTTTTTACGGACCGTAATTCATAAGTATAATACAGAAGACGCCATATTGGTATTTCCTCACAGCGGAAAACAAATCTTGACGTCACAGCGGAAAACACCATCGCACTTGACAAATATGAAAAACTGTCGTAAAAAGGTGAATAAGGTTTATTTCGACATGATCCCGAAATAAGTCGATATACATTAATAAGATTAATTAGTACCCGTTATACCTAAACTGGAATATGTTTAACTTTGTTTAAGATTCTTACCGTCTCAGGAGATATAACTAATGGTGCTGATAGGCGTTCGATCGTAGAGAAAACTGTGGAAAAGTACGGAGAAATCAACGTTCTAGTGAGTATGTTTTAAATGTTTTAATGAAATCTGATAGTGCTGGAAAATTTCAACTAAAATCTGGTAATATTTTTTCTGTATTTACTACATATATTTATATTACGCCTAAAATATATCCGTGTTGTTGAACATGTTGGGGGATAACCGCAATAAAGCTCTTATTTACATTGCATACAAAACAACATAATTTAATATACTGATACCTGAATCAAGTTACAAAAGTTTCTGAAAATATCATATAAATTAAGTATAAACAGTAAAAACTTTAAACAAGAACTGCAAAAGGAAATGACAAAAGATGGCAATTTTTACACAAACGGTCTTTATTTGGAGGTTACGTTATTCCATTCTGGGGATTATACGTCACTTTTATAACATTTCAATGTCTTTGGACTAATTTATTTCAGGTGAACAATGCTGGTATGATATATTACAATAGAATTGGGGACATCACTGAGGAGAAATATGACGAATTATTTGACTGTAACGTCAAATCTCACGTCTTCCTAACTCAGCTTGCTATCCCTCATTTAATTAAGTCCAAAGGTATAGTTCTATCCGAGATTATAAAGCCCTTAGAGTTTTTAAACGTTGGCTAACGGATGTAAAACAGTCTAATAGTTACATTTTATAACCGTTCTTTTGTTTTATGGTAAAAAGTTTTGCCTTTGTCACGTTTAGAGGGCGATGCTGATTTAATTTCTGTAAGTACACATTATGCAAGAATAAGTTTACCATAAATTCATATGGTATTATCTTATGAGTTTATTTTACAGATGTATATAAAGCTCTTTGTTTATATACGTTGATTGATTGATTGATTGATTGACTGATTTATTTATCTGTTTATTTATCTATTTATTTATTTATTTATTAGGAAGTATTGTAAACACGTCAAGCATATGTGGACAAAAAGCGGTAAGTTAACTCGTTAAACATAGTTAAACATGTATATTGTAACATATTTCGCTTATTTATCGGACAGTTTTCGGTGACATTACATGTATAGGAGTCGCTGAATTAAGCTTGTATCGAGGCCCCTTACCATTTTCCCTTTAAGGAGTCGCTGAATTTATCTTGTATCGATCCCTTACCACCGCCATTTCCCCTTTAAGGAATCGCTGAATTTAGCTTGTATCGAGCCCTTACCCCCGCCATTTTCCTTTTTAGTAGTCGCTGAATTAAGCTTGTATTGAGCACCCCTGTGATTTTCCCTTTTTGTGCATTGTGACTCATCATTTATAATTGCAGTCAAAGTAGTAATGCTTAAACAAAGAACATGAAACCTAAAACAAATGTGATATTTTATTATAAGTTTTAATCTGTGTTTTAACTTGTCATGATATTGTATTACAGATGGCCGAGGTTGGGGTTTATTGTATGACAAAAGCGTCAATGGATATGTTTACCCAGTGCCTGGCTCTTGGTAGGTCACGTGTTATAAAAACAATGTATTACCTATTATTTCACAAAAGTTGCACTTAAAGAAAATGGTGAAGTTAGTAACTTTCACTAGTACGAACTCCCTTGTATGTAAAATACTTGTAAAACAGATAGTATATTTTTGCTATTTTCCACACTTTAGATTTACAGTTTAAAGTGTAAATGTGTGAGGAAAAATAAATGTCAATATTGCACTAATACGCTTCCGTAAAATACAAATGCTTCAGTATGGTATGGCATTTACAGAGTTAATTACTTTGTGCCACTAATAATCTTCCCCTTCATCCCCTGAAGTTGAAAGCATATGGTCGTAGGCTTTAAGAAAATGTAGAAATTACATCCATGGATTATAGCCTAAGTCCAAAACAATTTAACTTTCAGATGAATACATTTAAAACTATATTTGGAAATTGCGATGTTTACATAATTATAGGCTGCTTTGTTTTCAAGACTTTCCATTTGGGATATACAAAAAAAATCAAAACGTTTCAAGGCACATTAAGTTGGCCTTATATTTAACAATTAAATCAATAATTTCCCCAAAATGCACAATAAAAATGATTAAAGTTACATCTTGCATTTTTTTCAGAATTAGCTCCTCATGGTGTCAGAGTAAACGCAATAAAGTAAGTAAAAATTATCTGTTCAATTATGTCAGCTGTCCTTGGAATTATAGCTTTGTTTTGTATTTGTATTATAATTAATTGTATGTTTAAATATTTGCTGCTGTCGGAGAGCAGGAGATTAAGAGTATTTGCACATAAACGTACTGGAATAAAAATAGGAAAGCATTGCAGGTGACAAAACACAGAAGTGAAAATTTAACTTGATATTGGACACAAGCCACTAAATGTCAAAAATATGAGAACAAAGTGCAACAACATAAAGCGACGTTCACAGAACGCAGCCCCAAACATTATCCAGCCATAAAAGATAAACGCAAAGGCGCCCAGTAGGATACTTAACAAAACGCGGAGGCACCCAGTAGGTTAACGAACAAAATCCGGAGGCACACAGTAGGTTACCGAACAAAAAGTGGGGGCACCCAATAGGTTACCGAAGGAAAATCGGGGGCGGATACACAGGGCGTGGCATTGGGGCATTAAACATTGCATATTATTTCATTACATTGTCCAAATGATTACACATTAAGGATTTTGTCTGTGTTTGCTACTTTCACTCTTCGTTCTTTCCATTGACTTTCCTATTACGTTTGTGTCCAGGCAAAACTAATTTACCATTTAGGCATCATTTCATATTTGACAGAATATTTTGCAAAAATAAGATAAGTGCCTGTCATATAATATATTTATATCATATATATATATATATATATATTATATATATATATATATATATATATATATATATATATATATATATATTATATATATATCTTGTATGTTTCACTAGCCCTGGTACGATTGTAAGTAATATTGCAAGAAGACCATGGGGAGATTATCAAGATGAAGAACTATATCAAAAGGTATGTTTATCTGGTAACAGCAGTATACAAAAAAAGTTTTCCAATTATTTAGACATAAAGTCAGAATAATAAAATGTTTTTTTTTGTTAGTTGAAAAATGGTATTTAAGATGTTTTAAGTTACTTATAATTTTCAGTGACTTTTCTTGAAATATGTTTTTACTAATGTCACATGAGGTCGCTTGTTTCCTATGTAATATAACCCTTTTTCCTTATTTCTTAATGAAAAAAATAAAAAAATCTACAAAACAACAATTTTTCTTCAAATTTATATGACAGGCCATGTTTAAACATGGAAAAACGCGATTTTGGGTAATTTCAAGTATTTTCATCATTTTCTGTTAACCCATTACGCGATATACACGCCTTTTAACGCCTTTTTCACCTCCCCCTTTATTGTTGTCTCAAATGGTGAAAAAATGCCTTATTTAGGACCCCAACACTTGTTTTTGTTTGAGAAATGTTGTTAAAAAATGACCACTTTTTCGGCGCGGGCCCCCAACCAAAAGATACATCAGGGGGTTGCCAGAAGGGAGATGTGCCCCCTTCTGTTGGGGGGGGGGTTTGAAGGGGGGGCGGCAGTCCCCCTCATCGCCAAGAAAATTGTGCACTTGTGAGAGGCTAAAAATGACCCCAGATTGATCATAGGGTAACGTGTAACCAACGCTGAAAAGCATTTCACTCTATCTCAATCCGTTAAGAAATTGCAGCACTTTCAAATCAATTCTGATGAAAAAAATCAACGCAAAATATTGATTTTTTTGCAATTTTGAGATGTACCCTCGTTGCCATGGTGACAGAAAATTTAAGCCTGAGCATGTTGTTGCAAGGGCAATGGTCCAGTCAACATTTGTGCCAATTTTGATGAATATTGAAGCAGTTTTTATAGTATTATAGCAATTTGAACTTGTAACGGGAGACTTTTCAATGGAAACAGCCATTTTTCACAAAATGCCCATGAAGTAATGGGTTAATATTATGCTCGTTTTATATATAAATTTTGCCTTCCAGACGCCGGATTTATAGTTCTGCACATTTGTATCGTCGCTTTTCATTGGATGATCGGGACGCATATATAACCTTACTGTACTTACTGTTGTCAATTTAGAGATTAATTTTCATTTTACCTTAAACAAAAAAACGTTTGTTGTACTGTAAATTCGTTATGTTGCCGTAAATAAACGGTTATTTTCGTATATTTGATGGTTATATTGAAAAACAACCGTTTATATACGGTCATATAACCTGTCAAGAATCTTTATAACGAATTTATAATACGGCAAACTGACTTTTTAGAGGGGAAAAATCGTTTATGTTGTTAATAAAACGATGTGTACTTTATGTTGGATTTTATTTAAAAAAACACCTTCATAATTGATTGGCATAAGAAATAAGTTTTTAAATACTCAGTGTCATTATTTTATGTAAATCAGCAAACAAAAAATATAATCTTTAACATTTGTTTTACTGTTTTCAGTTTCTAGAAAAACAAAAATCTGGCCATCCATTAGGTCGTGTTGGTCAGCCAAGTGATTGTGCCGAATCAGTAGTTTTTCTTGCGTCACAGGCATCAAGTTTTATAACTGGTCAGATTCTATACCTAGATGGTGGAAGACATTGTGTATCTGTCGGGGTGGCTACCTCTGTGAAAAAATAGTTTGTCTTGATAAGACAACAAGAACATAAGAATAAAATAACTGTTTACATTATGAATGGCAACTTTTTCTGAAAGCGCTAGATTAAATATAACTGAAAGTCATATATTCTTGTTTGCTTCATGTTATTTTTGTCTTATTATTTTTTTAATTTTTTTTATCATTCCTAATTATTCATATTTTTTCTCATTATTCCTACTCTTTTCTCATTATTCCTACCTTTCTCTTATATTCTTACAATTTCCTACTCTTCTTTTTATTCCTATATTTTTTCTTATTATTCCTACGTTTTTCGTATAATTCCTTCTTTCTTTTTATTATTCCTTATTACTCCTACTAATGTCTTATATCATTCCTTCTTTGCCCTCATTATTTCTACCTTTCTCTTTTATTCTTACCATTTCCTACTGTTTTCATATTATTCCTACTCATTTCTTATTATTACTACTCTTCTTATTTGTTCCCCTTATTATTAATATTTTTTCTCATTATTACTTATTTGTTCCCCTTATTATTATCAGCGAAAACACCATATTTCTATTAAAGGCTGCAAAGCTGTATCTGGCGAAATATGCAAAAAGTATTCAGAGTCAATACGATGTTTTCATTCTTTTATGGTTATTTAAAAAAAAACGTTTTTAAATCAGGAGTTTAATACAAGAAAGTAAACAGAATAAAACATTTCCCAAAGAAACTCTTAGATTGCTATTACATGTATTATAAGTAGGTAAAATCAAGCCTTGATCGCACACACGTGGCTATCGGTTTAATATCATTCGTTTCACAAGGGCCAGCTTGGAAGGAAATCTTTTAATATACATGTACATACAGCTATTGTGGAGAGCAGTACAAATATTGGAAATGTAATATCCTTTATCTTTTACTTTTGCTGAAGTCTTAGAATGGGCAGAAACAACAACAATGTTAAGAGCTTTCCGCAGTAAAAAGGGACATTGACACTACCTCAATAAAACTTTAAAACACTGACCGACTTTTTATGCCAACTTTACATTTTAAGATCCAACTTCACATTTGAAGATAGCAAACACAGTGGTTAAGAAAGATAATATGCACACGCGCGTGTTTCAATCAGTTTTTTTTTCATATTGATAACCTGCAGTGATAGTAAATATCCTCAATGTATGACTGCACATAGGTGACATGTGCACATCTCTATTTGGCTCGTGAAAACAATGTAACATCTTGTGGTAACGGGATAATATCTCGTGGTCACGGAAAAATATCTCACGAAAACGAGATAAATATCTTGAGAAAACGAGAAAAATTTCTCGTGTAAACGAGATAATATCTCGTAACAATAAGATATTATCTTGTTCTCACGAGAGATATAAGAAGTACTTATGTCACCTCAGCGCCACCATAGTAATGCACTCTTAACATTATACAGCGATTTCAGTATGTAGTTTTATTCAGTGAATATGGAATCTCTGAGAGGACAGGTGGCAATTATAACAGGTAAGTTACTGTATTGATATTCTATATTAATATTACAAAACGGTTTTAAACAAGCTAAATTAACCATACTTTATGTATTTATTTTTCACTGAAAGTAGATAAATTACACTGTCGTTTAAAGCTTTAACATTGTACACTGCAGTTTTAAAGCAGTGACCTCGATATTAAAACGTGATTTAATGTATGTGCATGCGTCGAGTGTAAACAATACACTGTTTTAAAAAAAAATATCAAATTTCAAACTTTAGTAAAATAGGTTTTAAGCTAAAAGTTTGAGAAATGAACAAGTACATTATATATATACATCATTGAGACGGTTAAAATGTTAATGCAAACTAGGGATAGTTTTACTTATTGAACTTCTAGATTATCCATACGTAATGGTGCAAGAACTGTTGTCTACCTATTCATTTCACATTTTACTTACTGTTTGTACATAAAATGCACATTTAAACATTATTTTAAACACAAGAAAGAATAACAGGCAGAATTAATTTTGAGGCATGCTGCTTAATAGCACGTCGGACAGTGTTTACATATTTTATACTCAAGGACGTCAAAGTAATTTATTTAAATTATCTGTCCTTGAAAATGATCTAAACTACTAAGTATGCATCACAGGAGCTTGAAATTCTATCAATAATCGCTCTAAAGTCCGATTAAAAAATCCAGACCTGGATTTTTTAAAAATAGGATTTTAGAGCGATTATTGATAGAATTTCAAAATCCTGTTGTATGCACAGTTTAAGAAAATTATCTTTCATTCTTTGGTAAGTAAACTGTAAGATGTATCTTAAAAGAAGCAAGTCTCTACATTAAGCTGTTCGTTGTACATTGTATTTTAAATAATATCTTGTCAACCAACAAATTTTTATTACTTAAGTTATCTTGCTTTTTTTCAACAGGTGCTAGTAGTGGTATAGGTGAAGGCGTAGCAATCAAGTTTGCTCAATTAGGATGTCGCCTGACTCTGTCTGGTAGAAGTACAGAAAATTTACAACGTGTAAACGATTTGTGCAAAGAGGCGGGCTTAAACCAAGATCAAGTAATCAACCCTACTTATTCAAAGAAATCAATTAAATTTCGTTTATAGTTAATTGGTCTATAATGGGAGGTCTCTAAGACACTGAATAATTACACTGGCAGTATCTAGTATTAGATTTAACAACAAACCGGGGCGTCCGTGACCAAGGTCGTTGACTTCAAACCACTTCCCTGTCACCACTATAAGTTAAAATTCCGACAGGGGCCTTGAATTATTTCATGTGAGGAAGCTATCCTGCTTACGGAACGTTTGTGGTTCTACTCAGGGGCCCGTTCGTGCCTGAAATAATGTAAGGAAGGACATTTGATGTCTTCCCCCACCAGGAACCTATGCATCTCTTAGCTCCATCAGGTGAGTTGGTTTTGACTTTGACCCCTGGTATTGCTGTTAGTTAGTTACACTCAAGGAAAGCAAAAACTCATCTTTCCTGTTTCGGCACCATATGACCTTAATTGTGTTGGTAAGCCGTAATACCAACAAAAATATTAATCCGGTGCTTAGGGGCCTTGAAGGCATCTTACTTTTATCATTAGTGTTAATGAAAAGGCTTCAATTTGGCTATCCGCAGATGTGTTACTTTTCACATTGATGAAGGAAGGATGAACCGATCTTTCTTTTCTTTCTTTAGTTTTTAAATAGTTTATTTGTCGTTATAAATATGATATATTTTTAAAGATACTGATCGTTCCTGGGGATATTACCATTGGTGCTAATAGACAAACGATTGTACAGAAAACTGTGGAAAAGTTTGGAGAAATCAACGTTCTTGTGAGTATTTTAACTTTTTATGTATAAATCGAGTTTAAAATCAGTTTATACAAAAGTAAATGATATTGTATCATGTGTTTAGCTGAATTATATGCTATTTCTCAGATCTGAACTTGCCAGACATGACCTTTTAATAGCCAGACTTAACACATATTTCTGACAAAGTAACAGAAACTTATTTTAGTATTTTCCAAAATGTTTCTGTTGTTCTTGGACCTTTTTATATTATTATATGTAGGAGCATTAGTGCCAGGTGTATGTTTTTTATTAACTCGAAATTTCGAGTTACTTATCTCGAAATTTCGAGTTACCTATCTCGAAATTTCGACTTATTAACTCGAAATTCCGAGTTACTTATCTCGAAATTTCGACTTACTAACGTTAAGAACTAGAATGGCAAAATTTATGAGTTACCAAGAGTTTAGATAATATAAGATATAGTAGGGAGTGCGGTTGATTGATGGAGATGGAGAAACGTATGCCTGGACAAACTACTAAAGTTAAACTTAAACTAAGTAATGGCATGTACCTAAAACAAAACAAGGCTTCCTTTAATCTGTACGTTCAGGCGTTTTTCTGACATTGTATTGTATCCCATCTGTTCAAACATATCTTTTCACTAATCATATTGGACATCTGAGGAAAGTATCGCGGAGTGGCCAAAATTTGGGCCTTTGTCAAATTTGTTGGACTGACTATTTTTCTTGTAAAATCGGATGCTTTATATTATTCCCAACATGTATATAACAAGTTCTACTTTTATCAATTTTTATCAACACAATATGAATCAAAGTCTTAGTAAATAATGAATAATAATGTTACAAAACATTATTAGTATAAAGAAACGTGACAGACTAATTGGAGTATACACGCCACTTAAAACTTAGTTAACACAGTTTACTATAGGGTGGGTTTCGGACTTGTTGTATCTCCACATGATGGTTGTATGTGTGCTTTAGAAAAAGAAACATCCAGTTAACACGGAAATGTGGAAAGTGTGGTTTTACACCCCCCCCCCCTCCACAAAAAAGTGAAGGGTATGTTCAGTATGTGTGGACAATTTGACCCTATTAAATTGTCCTGTTAAATACATAGGTGCTCTGTCAATGTGCAACAGCAAACACGAAAGAAAGTATCTGGAATTCAATCTTTGCTTTCACCGGAAACCAATGAAAATCGTGCAATATAAGTCGACATTTCGAGTTAATAAATCGAAATTTCGAGTTAGTAACTCGAAATTTCGAGTTAAGTTACTCGAAATTTCAAGTTTATTTAGTAAGTCGAAGTTTCGAGTTAGTAATTCGAAATTTCGAGATAAGTTAGTCGAAATTTCGAGTTAGTAACTCGAAATTTCGAGTTAATAAAAAACATACACCTGGCACTAATGCTCTTCCGTACTTACCCGCAATACGTCTATATATAATTTCTTTTGTTCAAAGAATTGTTGGGGGGCCTCCGTGGCCGAGTGGTTAAGGTCGCTGACTTGAGATCACAGGTCCCTCACCGCTGTAGGTTCGATCCTCACTCAGGGTTGAAATCTATCATGTGATGAAGCCATCCAGCTGGCTTACGGAAGGTCGGTGGTTCTACCCAGGTGACCGCTCGTGTCTGAAATAATGCCCGGAGGGGCCCCTGGGGTCTTTCTCCACCAATAAAGCTGGAAAAAAATCGTCGAAAAAATCTCGGCGGGACTGACTTGAGTGTACGGTCGTCCATATGGGCTTTCCGGCGGCGACCTTAAATAAACGCATTAAAAAAAAGAATTTTTATCATAATTCTGCACATTTGTAACGACAATTATTAATTGGCTAATCGAAACGTTTATATTATAAAAAAAAATTATATGGCTGCTGTAAAAATTAAGTATATACGTAATGAAGTAATTTTCACCGCGCTGTAATGAAGACAACGGAGATGTTATAAATTGTTTTTGTGTGTAATATTTTAGCTTATAACCATGCATATTCGACCATATAATATTTCAATATTTTTAAAACTAGTAATAAGTTTAGTTTTATTACCAAAGTTTATATGGCGTTCGGTACTTACCCGCAATACGTTTTATAGGTCAAATTTGTTTTATTTTATTACTTATGCAGCCTATATTTTTCAGGTGAACAATGCTGGTATGATTCATTATAATACAATTGGCGACGTTACCGAGGAAAAGTACGATGAATTATTTAACTGTAATGTCAAGTCACACGTCTTCTTAACGCAGCTTGCCATCCCGCATTTAATTAAGTCTAAAGGTATGACCCTACGGAAGAGCATTAGTGCCAGGTGTATGTTTTTTATTAACTCGAAATTTCGAGTTACTAACTCGATATTTCGACTTAATTATCTCGAAATTTCGAGTTACTTATCCCGAAATTTCGAGTTACTAAGTCGAAATTTCGACTTACTAACCCGAAATTTCGACTTATTAACTCGAAATTTCGACATACTAACTCGAAATTTCGAGTTACTTATCTCGAAATTTCGACTTAATAACTCGAAAATTCGACTTAGTAACTCGAAATTTCGACTTATTAAGATAACAAGAATGACCAAAGTTGTTAGTTAGATGATATAAGATGAATTAGGTAGTGCCGTTGAACGATCGAGATGGAGAAACGGGTGCCTGGACAAAAACTATTGAAATTTAACTTAAACTTGGTAATGGCATGTACACACCCGACCTAAAAACACAAGGCTTCCTTTAATTTGTACGTTCAGGCGTTATTCAGACGTTGTATTGTATCCTATCTGTTCGAACATATCTTTCCACTTATCATATTCTTCTTATCCCTGTGAAAAAAAGATCCTTTACTTCACGTGTGGGACATCTGAGGAAAGTATCGCGACGTGGCCAAATAACGGCGTGCTGAGGCCTTTGTCAAAATTGTTAGACTGACTAAATTTCTTGTAAAATCGGATGCTTTTATATTATTCCCAACATATATATAACAACAAGTTCCACTTTTATCAACTTTTATCAACACAAAATATGAATCAATGTATAAGTAAATAATGAATAATGATTAGTATAATGAAACGTGACTGACTAACTGGGGTATACACGCCATTTAAAACTTATTTTACACATGATATTGCACATTTTACGATAGGGTGGGTTTTGGACTTGTTGTTTCTTCACATGATGGTTGTATGTGTGCATAAGAAAAAGACACGAAAATGTGGAAAGTGTGATTTTACATACCCCCCCCCCCTTCCACAAAAAAGCGAAGGATATGTTCAGTATGTGTGGACAATTTGACCCTATAAAATTGTTCTGTTAAATAAATGTTAAAGGTGCTCTGTCAATGTGCAACAGCAACACACGAAAGTATCTTGAATTCAATCCTTGCTTTCACCCGCAACCAATGAAAGTCGTAAAATGTAAGTCGAAATTTCGAGTCACTAAGTCGAAATTTCGAGATAAGTAACTCGAAATTTCGAGTGATTATATCGAAATTTCGGGTTAGTAAGTCGAAATTTCGAGTTAGTAACTCGGAATTTCGAGTTAATAAAAAACATTCACCTGGCACTAATGCTCTTCCGTAATGACCTGTACGTGTATTCAATTTATTGTTTGCAGTTTTTGTCCTTAACAAATATTTTAGATATGCGAAATTATAAATGGACAGAAGTCTAATTAAAGATATAATATAGTTCATACAATTAATTATCTTTGGACGCTTGCAAATCATAATGTATGTGTATTTGAACGCACAGCGTATCGCAGCTTTAATAATATTTAGATTAAAAGGAACGTCACCAAGTGGGACACGGGATATTATCGGGGAAAATGAGGGCAGAAAAGGTTGAGAAGGGATCGAGTTCAAAATTATAATTTTACTTAATATTATAATATAACCAAAAAGTGGGATTAAGAATTGGAAGCTCTCCAGGTTTCTACTTTTTTCAAAACATGTTTGCATGAACTTTATATATTTGCTAACACCGCTTTGATACAAATAAAATAGTTAGACAAAATTCACTTATAATAAACTTGGCATTTTATCAATATGTTTTACTGTAATATATTTGCCTTCAGATTTTATAAATTTACCTTTATATTTTATATATTTGCCTTGATATTTCAGGTGCTATTGTGAACACGTCAAGTATTGGTAGTAAAAAAGCGGTAAGATTTACGATCTTTTAAAATAAAAATAAAAATAAAAGAAATTAAAGAAACAAATTATTGTATGATATCGTATTTCCATAACAGTTCTGCTAATAACTAATTTATAACTAATATCGTTGATTTCTCTATTGTATGGCTTGTAAGCACTTGACAACCCTATCTGTTATATAGGAGAACAGTGTGAAACATGTAAGAATTATTCATTGTACATAGCAAAAATACATTACAGATGCCCGAGATTGGCGTTCACTGTATGGCAAAGGCTTCTGTAGACATGTTCACCCAATGTCTTGCTCTTGGTAAGGTCACGTGATTAAACTATCTTTCTAGAGCAGCATGCCAATTTTCATGTGAATTTTCAAAAAAGTATTAAAAAGTAAATTATTGTCCTTATTATTTATATTTCTAAGTTTTAATACTTTAACGTTCTTAACTTCACTTTTCATTGGCAAATCGTGAATTTTATATAGTTTAATATACACGTCTTCTGTCAATTTATGAGAAAATCTCAATTATTTCTTTATAAAAAGGAAGTGCGCAGCATTATAAATTCGTTATAAATATTCCTGACAGGTTATATGACCGTATATAAACGTTTTTTGTAATCTAACCCGATTCACTTTACAAACAACCGTTAATTTAGGGCCATATAACCTGTCAAAAATCTTTATAACTAATAATATATAATGATATTCCTTATTTCTTGATTAATAAATGTATGAATTACCTTTATTCAGAAATAATTTAGTTATATTGTCTGGACCATAAAGCAATATTTGTGTCATTGTAATTTCAGAATTGGCTCCTCATGGTGTAAGAGTTAACTCCATCAAGTAAGTTAGATATGTTTTTATTTTAATCAAAAAGGTAAAAGGTCAAAATAGTATTTCTTAATATAATATTCATAAATGAAATATTGAGAATTATTGATGAAATAAATTGCATATTCTCATTTTTCGTATTTTTACTGTAAAAATATTTTTCACCGCACTGAAACATATTTACTATATATTCAGGACTGATTTTGAGAATTTGGCTCCCTATAAGATGCTAGAGGCATTTTGAAGTACAAGTGGTATCTTGGTGTACGAGCTCGTATTTTACATATTTAAGGTATGCTGAATCCGATAAAGGTGGATACCAAATTGAAAAACATGATCTTGACCATTGAAATGGCCATTTAAAATGACCACTAAAATGGCCGCCAAAATTCTTTATCATAAATGGATGATAGATCAAATAAAACTTTAAAGGAAATGAAAAGCCTGAAATTTGTCACAAAGCATGTTTATTTAAAAACAAATTAGACACCAAAACAGAATTAAAAAAACAAAACAATCCAATATGGCCGAAAAATCCAAGATGGCAGACATTTTTCTATAGGCCAATATAATAGTAATATAAAAGTAAAGATAGTACTGAAAACTTTAAGGCATTTACGCAGCGAACACTACACTCTTTCCTGCCCTATCTGTTAGATATAGAGCTTTCAAATATTTTATCTGGCACTCTCTATGCAAGCAAAATAAACATTAATTAAAGGCATCTTTCTCTGAGTACTCTTGGGTTATGGTGTTCGTTTTTTGTTATTGGTCGTCGTCTTCGTTCTTCTGTTATAGGTTCTCGTCGCATTTTTCTGCTGTCAGTTCTTCTGTTATTGGTCGTGATCTTCGTTTTCGGTTCTGGTCTCAGATCTTTTGTTGTTATCAGTCCTCGTCTATGTTATTCTGTTAGCAGTCCTCGTCTTTGTTATTCTGTTATCAGTTCTTGTCTATGTTATTCTGTTATCAATTCTCGTCAATGTTATTCTGTTATCAGTCCTCGTCTATGTTATTCTGTCATCAATTCTCGTCTATGTTATTCTGTTATCAGTCCTCGTCTATGTTATCCTGTCATCAATTCTCGTCTATGTTATTCTGTTATCAATTCTCGTCTATGTTATTCTGTTATCAGTCCTCGTCTATGTTATTCTGTCATCAATTCTCGTCTATGTTATTCTGTTATCAGTCCTCGTGCAGTTCTCGTCTATGTTATTCTGTCATCAATTCTCGTCTATGTTATTCTGTCATCAGTTCTCGTCTATGTTATTCTGTTAGCAGTTCTCGTCTATGTTATTCTGTCATCAATTCTCGTCTATGTTATTCTGTTAGCAGTCCTTGTCTATGTTATTCTGTTAGCAGTCCTCGTCTATGTTATTCTGTTAGCAGTCCTCGGCTATGTAATTCTGTTATCAGTCCTCGTGCAGTCCTCGTCTATGTTATTCTGTCGTCAGTTCTCGTCTATGTTATTCTGTCATCAATTCTCGTCTATGTTATTCTGTTAGCAGTCCTTGTCTATGTTATTCTGTTATCAATTCTCGTCTATGTTTTTCTGTTAGCAGTCCTCGTCTATGTTATTCTGTCATCAATTCTCGTCTATGTTATTCTGTTAGCAGTCCTTGTCTATGTTATTCTGTTAGCAGTCCTCGTCTATGTTATTCTGTTAGCAGTCCTCGGCTATGTTATTCTGTTATCAGTCCTCGTGCAGTCCTCGTCTATGTTATTCTGTCGTCAGTTCTCGTCTATGTTATTCTGTCATCAATTTTCGTCTATGTTATTCTGTTATCAGTCCATGTCTATGTTATTCTGTCATCAATTCTCGTCTATGTTATTATGTCATCAGTCCCCGTCTATGTTATTCTGTCATCAATTCTCGTCTATGTTATTCTGTTAGCAGTCCTTGTCTATATTATTCTGTCATCAATTTTCGTCTATGTTATTCTGTTAGCAGTCCTTGTCTATGTTATTCTGTTATCAATTCTCGTCTATGTTATTCTGTTAGCAGTCCTCGTCTATGTTATTCTGTCATCAATTCTCGTCTATGTTATTCTGTTAGCAGTCTTTGTCTATGTTATTCTGTTAGCAGTCCTCGTCTATGTTATTCTGTTAGCAGTCTTCGGCTATGTTATTCTGTTATCAGTCCTCGTGCTGTACTCGTCTATGTTATTTTGTCGTCAGTTCTCGTCTATGTTATTCTGTCATCAATTCTCGTCTATGTTATTCTGTCATCAATTCTCGTCTATGTTATTCTGTCATCAATTCTCGTCTATGTTATTCTGTCATCAATTCTCGTCTATGTTATTCTGTTAGCAGTCCTCGTCTATGTTATTCTGTCATCAGTTCTCGTCTATGTTATTCTGTTAGCAGTTCTCGTCTATGTTATTCTTTCATCAAGTCTCGTCTATGTTATTCTGTTAGCAGTCCTCGTCTATGTTATTCTGTTATCAATTCTCGTCTATGTTATCCTGTCATCAATTTTCGTCTATGTTATTCTGTTAGCAGTCCTCGTCTATGTTATTCTGTCATCAATTCTCGTCTCTATTTGTATATTATTAATCCTCGTCATTTCTTTTGCTCTGTCTCTAATATTCTGTTATCGGTTCTCGTCTCTGTTAGCTTGTTGTCAGTTCTTCTGTTATTAGTCACTGTCTCTAATTATCTGTTATCGGTTCTCGTCTCTGTTCGCTTGTTGTCAGTTCTTGTCTCCGTTCTTCCTTCTGTAATCTGTCGTCGTCTTCGGTCTTGTACTTTCGGTACTTGTTTCCTGTTCCGTTAAGGTCTCCTCTTGTTTCTATCGTTGCCGTCATTATGTGTCTATGTCCTGGTTTTGTCAGTCTTTTAGTCATTTATTCGTTCAGTGGAGTAGCGGGGGATCGAACTCACGACCCCTTGATTTGTAGGCAGACAGTGTTACCACTGCACCATAGCGCCCGCTCTGAATAATAACTATTTTTGAAAATCCTTTATACATAAAAAATACTATTTCAATGGCTAACAAAGGGTGTATTACAATTATATTTTAACACCTCTACTATGTAGCCAACCCACGTGACTTTTATATATGGTCAAAGAAAATATTACTCTATTTTTTACAAGTAATATTCTTATAGATAACTTTGCTGTTACTTTAAAATATGGAAATTTATTGGAGGGTACCCGGAATTCAAATGTATATCAAATGATGTGATAATCTTCTTGTAGATTTTTCTCAAAACCGTGATTGAATTCCAAAATTTTCGAGAGCTGCCATGGTACCACATGAGAAAGTAGTTTCGTCATTGAAAAGTAATAATGACGTCACAATGTTGAAGCAAAATATAATTCCATGATTATTTTTAGATTTTAAATGTTTTTCAGCACAACGTTCGTAAATATTTATGAACTACAGTTATCACGTACATTTTTTATTATGATTGACTACATTTCCGCTGAAAAAACATTCATTAATGATAAATATTTTATTTTTACGCCAAATATAGTTCGGCTACTGTGAAATTATATTTGGTAATCATTACTGTGAAATTATCAGAATATAATTAACCGTTATAATTCAGTAATCTACTGCAAAACATGTAATAAATTTTTATAATTTTCACTGTGAAATTATCAAATATAATTTTCACGTATAAATCAGTAATCCACTGAAAAGCATAAAATAAAAAAAAAACTATAAAACTTATGTTAGTGAAAGTCATATGTGCTAAAAATGTAAACGGCATCGTTACTTCCGCAGTTACGTGGCGCAGTATTTATTCTAAAACACTTTATGTCTCGGTTTGTGTTGTGTTTATGGCATTGAAATGACATTTTTTGACATTTCAAAATAATTTTCAAATATTGATTTTAAACCATAAATACCATAATAAGTGCAAAATATATGAAAACAAAATCAACAACTTAAAAAATATCATAGCTACAAATAATGTTGAAAATTACGGAACACTTGAAATGACATTTTCCACATTTTCTCCCTGAATTGAATTCGTTTTTACGAGATAATAATTCCCAATTAGAAATATTATTTCGTATTAACGAAATATTAAATCTTAATTACGAAATATTGATTCATTATTACGAAATATTATTTCGTAATTACGAAATATTAAGTCGTTATTACGAAATATTATTTCATAATTACGAAATATTAATATGTTATTTAGAAATATTTATTTTTTGGTA